GGTAAGGTACTGTAAAAAGATTAAATATTCAGTGGTATTTTCACATCCTTGTGATATGCAGATAAACCTGCACATTTTAAAAAGAAGCTTACACAAGGGCAAACATTTTCCCACAGTAGGATTGTAGCCCATCACTATTCTTTGGGCACAGGCATGGTTTTTGTTAGAAAAAAAGCAAAAAAATAACAGTGGTGGAGATCAGTTACGTAAAGCTGATTTACATAAACTTGTATAATAATATTCCACTCAGAAGTTCCCTCATCTTTGGTTTTATCATGAAAAGCCGATACAACATGTACTGTAGGAGTGCCCAAAATCTCAGCTTATGCCAATTAGACATAGTCACCAGTATATAGCTGTTCTGAAGTAGAGTGCTACTTGTCAGTGTCAATGTCCTGAGTGCCCTTGGTGACACAGTTGACAAGGACATGCACACTGGAAAAGCTATTTTAATATTGCGGTGTTATTTTACCCATGCGTGAGTTTCTGCAAAACTGGGCAGGGCATAGGGAAATTCTGACCTGCTCCTAATTACTGACATTGGCATATTATAATAGCCAGGGGTAAGTTTCACATTTTGCTAAAGAGATAAGGAAAACCAAGCATCAAATGAGATTTTGCATGAAACTGCTATTATTGTAAAGGTATTTGCTCAAAGCTATCTTTTCTCCTGGTGGCAAAACTTAATAAATCCTGTGGTATGTGCTGTACACAAGCACTGAACAACCCTGAGCCCCGTCAAAATAATCTTGTTCAAAGTCAACAACAAACTATCTCCCAAAACTGACTGCAGTAAGGCCAAACAAAGCAAATTTGTTTTCTGTTTTATGCTCTGAAACATTTCTGTTGATAACATTTAAAAAATGTTTTCAAACATTTCATTTTGGAAAACAATCTCAAGTTTTCTTCCAATGTTTAATTATTTCCATAGCTATCTACCTAGATACTTCTACACAATGTATGGCCAAAGGCCATTGATATGTGAGATCCAGTTTGTCCCTGTAGGCGTTCCGATGAATTGCGTAATAAGATTGGGTAATGTGAACATTGGCAGATTGCCCTTGGCATTCCACTGGCTGTCTGGAAGTTGTTATTAACAGCAGCTCTCCAGGAGTTTCCCGCATTTGCAATCATGACTCCATCTAGGAAAGTTGTGTGTCTGCTTCTTCTGCAGCTGTTTGCAGCACACACTGCATGGAGTGGCAAGATCCTTGTCTGGCCTGGAGAATACAGCCACTGGCTCAACATCAAGACAATCGTGAACGAGCTGGTGGATAGAGGCCACACCGTCACAGTCCTCATTCACACGGGCACGCAGTTTATCAACTACAACCAAACCGCCCGCTATCACTTTGAGGTATTCCAGGTTCCCTTCACGAAGGAGAGTGCGGCGGAGGTCTTGGACAAGATGCTGGAGTACTGGATCTATGACTTGCCAAACGATTCCTTCTTTCAGGGCTTTCTAAAAATCACTGGCATGATCGACGCAATGATGAACCAGCAAAAGGACATGTGTAGAACTTTTTTTGGGGACAAACACCTGTTGAAAAAACTGAAACAATTCCAGTATGATGTTCTCCTCTCCGATCCAATCTATTTGTGTAGTGAGCTCTTAGCAGAGGTTCTGGGGATACCGTTCATCTACACACTAAGGTTCTCCTTCGGTAATACGATCGAAAGGCAGTGTGGACAGATACCAGCGCCCCCCTCTTTTGTTCCAAGTGTTGGCACACAGTACACCGATAGCATGACCTTTGTGGAGAGACTCAAAAATGTTCTGTTTTATAAATTTCAAGACTTCATATTTTACACCTTTACAGCTTCAAAATGGGACAGGTTTTACTCCGAGATTACAGGTAAGTCTGGAAAAGATCTGATATTATTGCTGATAAATTTGGGTTCATGTCCTTGAACTCGGGGGGGGGGTCTTCTTGTTTCTTTGTATGCTGTTGTTTCTTGAGCAAGGGAGGTGATTGTGTTGCAATAACACAACAGCATTCAAGGGAATAAAAGGGTCATGTGGTCAGTTGGATTGAAAAGTTATCATGCGCAACATGTTTGCTTTTTGTTATACCATCATTGATATCTGTTAATATGTATATCTGGTCTCACAACAGAGTATTCTTGTGCAGCAGTCCAGTTTAATTAGAAGACTGAAAGCAACAGTTGTGCTCATGAAGTCACATAAATATAGTGCAAGTACAGACCAGGTACAGTGCATCATACACCTGGAATCTTACAAGTTTAAAGACTCATAATTGTCCCAGTTAGAAATACTGTGAAATATTATAACAATGTCACAGTGGCTCCATACACATAAGTATCAAACTAGCAAATTAATATTTAACCATAAAGCTATTGGATAGAGTCACTCACCATGGTCTCAACCATGGATATCTAACCCAGGTAGTGAAGAAACACTGTGGCTGTCTTGTTAAGTCACCACCATTCAGAGGGCTGTTTAACAACAGACACTTTAACTTCTTAGAGCTGATCTGGAACACAATCCTTGCAAAGTCACTGATGCTCCAGGACCTAGATTAGACACTCATGGTCTAAACCCTGCTGCAGCAACCTCATTCATCCCATCACGTCCAGTCTGCTGTGACACAGTTAAAACCTACAGGAACAGAGTGAACCCCCTATCTTCCCTCCACTGCTTTATACTGCAGATTGACAGTGTTTTCAGCAAACACCACCACACCATCACCACACTCAGTCATGCAAGCCCGGGCTTCACTGTGCCAACAGCTCCCCCAGATCTCTTGACTGCAATTGAAGACATGCAGTACAGGACTCTTGTCCTTAAATGCATTTTACTTGGGAGCTGCACACAATTATGATCTGAGATTACGATATGTATGTAGCTTGCTAATTGCAATTGTGTTGTGCTGCCTGCTGCAGTAGGTTTACACAGTAGAACTGTAATTACATGATACTGCATTAAGGGAAGTAATTGTACAGAAATACTGGGAATCCTCATAATACTGTGCATACAATGCAAAATGAGTTTAAAAAAGCAAAGCGTTCTGTCTATTTTTTATACATAAAATCACTTTTTTCAGCCCCGTGAACGAAAACATCACAAACGAGGTGTTATAGTATTTGAAAAATAAGGGGTAAACCCTTAGTTGATGGAATATTTAACAGGGTGTGCTTTCATTATTTTACTAAAACATATTATTCTGTTATCTATTTAAAATGGACCGTTAAAGTATGCATACTGCTGTGCCTGACAGCCCTCTGTCTCGCTTTCTTCCAAAAACATGCAAAGTAAATGTCTCCCCCTTGTGCTTTCACTGCAGAAAGCATCCAGTAATGCAGTTTTAGTAGATAGCGTACATGTGATAAAAATGAAAAGGCTGGAGAAACAAATCATCCTGGGATCCTTATCAGAGAAGTCAATTAAGTCATAGTGTGTTCTTAACATAGGTGTAGGCAAAGTCCTGTCTGAATAGGTGAATTATTACCCTCCATCATCCCTGGATCTCCGGCCAGTATCACTCTGTGGGAGGCAAGTGATTCCATACAGGAATTTCTATTTTGTCAGGAGTCACTGCCCTCTCAGCCTCTAACACACAGGGGTCACCTGGACAATACTATTTACCCGATGAACACAAGACCTTCATGTCTTCTAACTGGCTGATATTGCTTACGTTCTTGCATTGTGTCACTGTAAATTGAAGTGTCTCACTGAGATTTCCAGGAGTTTGAAGAACGAGTGTATGTCTTTTTAACCTTTCAACATACAGTATAATCTATAGTGTAACGCTTACGGCCGACAAGCACTGTGTGTAAGAGCCGGCGTACCAGAGCGGGTGACGTCACCGCCCTTCCCTGTGATAGCAGGACCACAGCTACTGGGCTGTGGAGAGATCTCTCTTCGGCTCACGGGGCTAGGTCGCTGCAGAGAGACGCGGGAGTCCCGGGTTCGAGCCCCGGACGGTGCAGGGGCCGACCTAATGCGGCAAGGGCGCCCGCCTGAGCCCCCGTTGCGTTACAATAGATAAAGTGCATGTCTTATTAACATTTGTAGTGACTGCATGCAGTGAATATGCAAAGCGGAGGTGGAGTTATTTCTAAAGAATGTACACAGTTTAATTATTTGGAAAATATTCAATGTCCAGTGGCACCTTCACATCCCTGTGTTGTTCACATCAAGCTCCATTTTTTTTAAAGAAAAAAACACATGGCAGGCTTAGCAGTTACCGTATATCACATCTCCGGGCAAACTACTGCCCGCCAGCCAGTTTTAACCGGCCCTTTAGGTAAAAAATAAATTAGTCAATATTCGCCATATTCCAAACTGTGCATCGCGCCACCTAGGGGAGGCGCCATTGTCGGTCAGGGGCGTCTCAGGCATCGCCAGTCAAAAGTTTTATTACGAGCAAAACCTGCTGTTCGAGCAATGTCCGAGTCGTGCGCTACCTAGCTAGATTGTGTCATATGACACTAGGCAAGAGAGTCGGCAGTCTGTGAGCAGCGTACCAGTTAACCACGGCTTCGGTGTTTCCTATTTCTAAGAGTGGTCATTTTGTTTTTTGTTATACGATCTCAGTTGAGAAGTTTTTAAATATGAGTTAAAAACGTGAAAGACATGGAGCCTAGTTCTAAAGAGAAACGGAAACGCAAATACACAAAGTATGACGACAAGTTTCTTGAATTTCGGTTTTACATGCACAGTTGTGGACACTGAAGAACGTCCTCGCTGTGTTGTCTGCCTTAAACTTTAAGTTAAATTTTGTAATTTGTCATATTTATCAGTAAAATGTTTGAATAATAATAATTGCTTACATTTACAGTATATAGCGCTTTTCTGGACACTCCACTCAAAGCGCTTTACAGGTAATGGGGATCCCTTCCACCACCACCAATGTGCAGCATCCACCTGGATGATGTAACAGCAGCCATAGTGCGCCAGAACGCTCACCACACATCAGCTATCAGTGGGGAGGAGAGCAGAGTAATGAAGCCAGTTCATATTTGGATGCTACAATATACTAATTAAGAGAACAATTGATTCAGGTCATTAAGACTCCAAGATGGCATGAAAATCAGAAGACAAAACAGACCAGAAATACACATCAGTTTCCTTAAAGTCTGATTGATTTTGATATCCCGTGGCAATACCTGACGTGCTCTGTGTGAATTGTCTGCAAAGCCATGGCAGAGTATATGGGGACTGTTCTATATCCTTATCTGATTCATGTCAGTCTAATGCTTTTTTAAATCACATAAGTCTGATAGCAAAAAACTCTCTATCTTTGGCATATGTGTAATGTGTAATAAGGGATATGTGTCTTATTGTCACATCATTGCAATTGAGAAATGGAAACGTGTTAAGGCAGGTTCCTACTAGTTAATTGCATAGTCATGGGTCCATCTCTACAGGCTTCTTCCTATTTAACCACCCAGGTGACAGAAGAGAAGAGATCCTAGGTACTACCCAGCTAAGGTTAGGCTGTCCTGAGTCCTTGCCTGGAATACTGTCACAGAACAAAACATGAAGCATTTTTCTCAAACTGGCCCTGATCTGCTGGACAATCTGCTAAAGCACCATCCAAACTCTGTTAATACTTGGCCCTTGTATTTAATGTGCTGTTTTAAGCGCTTGGTGTTTTGTTGTTGGTAGAAGGATTTGAAAGACAAATCAAAATGCTTTGAGCTAATCGCTGAACAGCAGGGTATCTTTTGAATCTACCTTCTGAAAGAGCTGCACTCCAATCTCTGTGACGTCATGTTTCTGCCTACAGTGATTCAAACAGAGAGACTTCGCTCTGCTTAGGGAGTGGTACTGTGCTGTTTCTGCAGCCTTTCCCCCTGTGAAACTAATCTGGTGTCCAATTTCACAAACCTGAAAGTCTGCCTGGGAGATGTGAGGAGTGGCTTGGCTCCTCTTTGAAAGCAGTTCACAGCCAGGAATTAAAGCTCTCCTCAACATGAGTCCTGCCGGGCTGTTCCTCCTCGTTTTCCTTCTCCTGTTCTGTGGGAGACAGCCAGTGCTGACCGGAAATGTTCTGATCTGGCCTGGAGAACACAGCCACTGGACGAACATGAAATGCATTTTAAACGAGCTTATAAACAGGAACCACAACGTAACAGTTTTACTGAGTTCTGCATCACCTTCCATCAACCATACAGAAAACTACCATTTTGAAGTTTTTGAAGTACCATTTTCGAAGACGGAGTTAGCAGGGATTTTAGAGGAGTTTTTTTACTTTTCGATGTACGAATCTACCTCAGCTTCCTTCGTACGGGTATTTCTGAAGACCAGGGAACTATTGGGGAAAATGTTGATTCTACAGAGGCAACAGTGCAACGCCATACTAAGGAACAAACTCCTGCTTGACAAGCTGAGGAAGTCTCAGTATGAAGTTCTTATCTCGGATCCAATGAATGCTTGTGGCGAACTTGTAGCGGACAGTCTCAATCTGCCTTTCATCTTCTCACTGAGGCTGTCATTTGCTTATACATTGGAGAGGCTTTGCGGACAGATGCCTGCACCACGCTCCTTTGTTCCAGCAGTGCCCCTTCAGTACACTGACAAGATGAGCTTCACGCAGAGAATCAAGAATCTCCTGTTTTACCTTGCTCACGATGTTATATTTTATGTGTGGACGTTTAGTAACTGGAATCAATACTACAGTGAAATTACAGGTAAGGTTCTCCTTAAAGTTGAGGTCAATGCATTACTGGCCCTTAATCTGTCGTAGCTGAAATTTCCGGCGCTGTGAAATTGTCTCTGGTGACAAAGCACATACAGTATATTTATGAATTCAATATTTTATTAGGCATAACCTTATTGTTTAATAAAATATTTATTTGATAATGTGGCTACTTCCTTTAAATCTTCAGCTACAGTATCTTGTTTTTAAGGTGATCCTGATAGATGTGTAATTTATAGTACAGAATGTAGCCTTTTAGATCAACTGTGTGTATAGATGGAACACCCATCCAGGCTGTACCCTGCCTGAAGAACAAGTGATGTTATCGACAATAGACATCTAACAATGTGTCAATTAGATTTGATTGGTAATCGTGATGGACTACTAGAGTGTATGCGTGTCTGTGTCTGTTTGTAAAGGAACAGGTAATAGGTTTATTCCATGCTGAAAAAAAAAGAAAAAGAAAACACAACGTTTCGGCCGTGTAGCCTTCTTCAGGTGTGAGGTGTGTCTTCAGCTCCTTTGCAGCCTACGCATGCTGACACAGCTACCCAACAGTGTCTGTTTGTGTCTGTCTACCGCCCGATAGACTGGCGTTCTGTCACGTTATATCCTGCCCTGCTCCTGTTGCTTGCTGGGATAGGCTCCTGCTTCCCGGTAGCCCTGAATTGGACGAGGCAGTTAGGACATGGATGGATGTGAGGGCTCAGCTACTACAGCGCCCAATATCAGTTCAGTTCAGTTTATTTGTCATATGCACAAGTGCAGTAGGCAAAGTCCTGTCTGAATAGGTGAATTATTACCCTCCATCATCCCTGGAACTCCGGCCAGTATCACTCTGTGGGAGGCAAGTGATTCCATACAGGAATCTCTATTTTGTCAGGAATCACTGCCCTCTCAGCCTCTAACACACAGGGGTCACCTGGACAATACTATTTACCCGATGAACACAAGACCTTCATGTCTTCTAACTGGCTGATATTGCTTACGTTCTTGCATTGTGTCACTGTAAATTGAAGTGTCTCACTGAGATTTCCAGGAGTTTGAAGAACGATTACAGTTTCTAATCTTTTTAACCTTTCAACATACAGTATAATCTATAGATAAAGTGCATGTCTTATTAACATTTGTAGTGACTGCATGCAGTGAATATGCAAAGTGGAGGTGGAGTTATTTCTAAAGAATGTACACAGTTTAATTATTTGGAAAATATTCAATGTTCAGTGGCACCTTCACATCGCTGTGTTGTATAGATGGAACACTAAGCCAGGCTGTATCCTGCCTGAAGAACAAGTGTCTATTGACGATGGACATCTAACAATGGGTCAATTAGATTTGATTGGTAATCATGATGGACTACTAGAGTGTATGCGTGTTAATGTCTACTATGCGATGGACTGGCGTTCTGTCACGTTATATCCTGCCCTGCTCCTGTTGCTTGCTGGGATAGGCCCCTGCTCCCCGGTAGCCCTGAATTGGACGAGGCAGTTAGGACATGGATGGATGTGAGGGCTTAGCTACTACAGCGCCTAATATTGGCTCAGTTCGGTTTATTTGTCATGTGCACAAGTGCAGTGAAATGCTTATTTGCATGTATGCGCTGATACAAAGACATTAAAATAATCACCAAAAACATCCACACAGAACAGCAGCAGCAGCTGTTAAATAACATACATCTTAAAAAAACAGGTCAGATAAGCGGTGTGAGGGGGGGAAAAAGTGTTTTGCTTTAAAGAATGATGTGAAGTAAAGAAAGCTAAATAACCAGAGAGCAGTACAGAGGTGCATTTTTTAGCATTGCTGCCTTTCAGCACTGGGGCCTCGGGTTCAATTCCTGGACTGCTTTCTGTCTGGAGTTTTTATGTTCTCCTCGTGTTTATGTCTGTTTCCTCCAGGCAATCCAGTTTCCTCCCACAGTCCAAACACATGCTGGTAGATTAATCGGTTTCTAGGAAAATTGGTCCTGGTATGAGTGTGTTCCTGTTTGTGCTGTGTGTGTGTGCCCAGTGATGGACTGGTGTCCTGTCTAGGGTGTATCCTGGCTTATGCCCCATTGCTTGCTGGGTTAGGCTTCAGCTCCCCAGGAGACCCTGTATTGGAGAAGCTGATTAGAAAATTGATGGAGAAATAGCAAGATTTGTTTCTTATCATGCGAACTACAGTAAACTACATTAACAACAATCACAACTGCTGTGATAAAAAACACTGAGTGAATTATAGATGTTCTTGGTATATATTGAGAGGTATTAAGAAAGCAACAAAAGCTATCTGGAACACTTGTTACATTTTAATGCATCTCAGTTTGTATATTGTAGCTGTTGATTGAACAATTTTGCATCAGTGTAACTAATTACAATAGATTCATATACAGAACATATAACAGCAATGTGAAATGAGCTAGACTGTTAAATTTGCTTACTCTATAATGCAATGAAGTAGCAGAGTCTGAACCATGTCCAGAACCTCGAGACCCAACCAGTGCTAAATCAAAGTGGTTTTGCTTCTGCTTTTTCAAGGCAAATAAATAGCACAATGCTTCTTATGACTGTACTCCATGCATAAACAGGGGCTTAACAGTGGGATACAGATACCAGGAATACTGCTTGGCACATTTTAAAAAACGTTCAGCCTGCCTGTAGTGCATACTTAATACTGTTGGGGAGCTCTGCTACTCAAGTAGGTAGGATTTGTTCTCTCAAGAGTTCTCAAGAGTTCAATAAAGCCTGCCTCCACTTCTTGAAAACAAAGTTTTTTTTACAACAGGGCTCGACTCCTAACACTGGTTGCAAAGTAGCAATACGTCTCTGTTTTTCACATTGAAAACTTTTTGATCTAACATTTCCTTGCTTTATTTGCTCCAGTTATGCATTCATGAAGGGTCGTGTTCTACAAAGTAAAGTGTATTTGCCTCAACTGCAGCAAAATTACAAAAATAAGGGGGAGAATTATCAGTTCAGCAACATTACAAAAAGTAGAGCATTATACAATATTTATGATACAACTACCTTTCAGACACTGATATATTGAAACTAGTATTCAAAAACCATGTCAACTTGCCGTGATCTCAGAAACTGACCAGGTCACTACACAGGTGAGAGACACCTGAGGTGATGCAATCAGCAGTCAGAAACTGCACTGGAACAACAGCATCTGGAGTTCTTTCATGTGATAATTAAGAGCCTGGTTGGAACAAAAACCAGCAGGTTTGAACAAATGTCCTCCGGAACCTCTGATACTGTGTTCAAAAGTATCCAGTGTACATTCCCGTTTTGAGTGAAAAGCTCTGTAAAGGTAATGAACTTGTGGTTTGTGGATGCAAGAGGCGTGATGTTTGTGAAGTTTGTAATTGTGCCAACTCCATTTCACCAAACATGAGTCAAAAACTAAGTCAAAGGGTTACCTACAGTATGGCAGTGTGCTTCATGAATGGGCTATTGGGGCAATCTGGCCACCTGGAAAACAGACTCAAAGACTTGTACAGTATTAAGTACAACAGGGATAGACAAAGCACCAATTGTATAATGTAATTGAATGGAATGTGGGAACTTTTCACATGGGTTTTAATTCTATAAAAGGGCGTGCCAGCAAGAAAGAGAAGGAAGTAGAGGGCATGGGAGAGAAACAAGAGACGTGGGGAGGCGAAGCCGCTGTTTGAGTGAGCAGAGTTTAAGGTCTCTAGGTTAGAGCTGGTTATTTCTGCAAAACTCTTATTTGGAATTAAACTGGATTCTGAAGAGCATTCATATGTAATGATCCCTTGAGCAACATTTCTGCAGGCAGGGACCATTCATGTACCCCACAGCTGAGAGACTGTGAGAGGATAGGCAAACTAAGGTAACCATGGCATTAAAGTTCTAATTGCACTGATTGTGTCTACGCGTCTGGGGAAAAAAAGATTTTCTATGCATAAATATTTTGGGGGCCTTTTAGAATGGCATGTACTGTATTACTTTATCTTACAACCTGTAACCAGAAGCCCTATGTAATATCGATTACGATTATACATGCATGTGCTCCACTAAAGAATTGTCTCGAACATACAGGTATGGATTAGCAAGAGTTACCAAATCAGTGTGCGCATTCCAAACTCCATTATAAGTTCAATTGTTAACATTTTGGCACAAAATAGCCTTAGTCAAAATATAGGTGATCTTGTTTCACCTTGATACAGTATGTCCAAGTAGAAATATTGCCAGAGTTTAATAAAGTATTAAATAAAGGTAGTCTTCTGTTTTCATGTACTACAGTATATAAAATATATCTCTTTCCATCTTTCTGTGCACATATTAAAATTTCTTACAAAATACCAAAAAGCAGAGAAAGCTTAACTGAACTAATTAAACTCTATTGTTTTAAAAAAGTGGCATATCTATGAAGAAGATAAGGATTGTTTGCTAGAAATGTAAAGTTCAAGTCTCGAAGTTAATCATTAATATTCTGGAACATATAATATATATAACATATAATAATGGAACATATGAGCTACTGGGCGATTTACAACAAAATCAGACACATCTTGAAAAAAGACAAGGAACTCTTTCTTCAGATTTGTGATGGGGTACTGAGGTCTACGCGTGTAATGGAGAAACTGAGAAAGATCGACTTTGACCTTATGTTCGCAGATCCAATTTATCCCTGCAGCGAACTTGTGGCCGAGAAGCTCGGCATTCCCTTCGTATACACACTGAGATTTTCTATAGCCAATTCCATGGAGAGACTCTGTGGACAAATACCGGCTCCCCCTTCCTATGTGCCTGCAGCCATGGCGAAATTTACCGATCAGATGGACTTCACTGACAGACTGAAAAATATGCTGTTCTATTGGTCTCAAGATATTTTGGCACTGAGTATGTTATGAGAACTGGATTCATATTATAGTGAAATCTTAGGTAAGGCTTATACTATGTGTTATGTGTTTTGTAGGTACACAGTACCTATGTGTTTAGAAGTTAGGGACATCGCAAAGTAATGGTTAATGATGTACTGTAGACTCTCTGTTAAAGGCTGGTGGGTTCAGGTCACTCCTGCTACATGCATGAGTGAATTACATCACTTTCATTTCTCTGGAAGTGGCACAGTGGTTAGCATTTTTACTTTGTAGCATTGGGGCCCTGGGTTCAGTTGTGAACCTCTGGCATCCGCTGTGTGGAGTTTGTATGTTCTTTCTGTTTTCACGTGGGATGTTGTTTTACGATAAAAAGGGGGGGGAAATGCACTTGTGTATACTGTGTCTAAACACTGTGTATACATATGTGGCAGGAGGTCTTTGCTTGTACTTCCATTTGCTTCCCTGTTCTTTTCTGATTGCATTTCTGCTTTGATTGCTTGCATATGTATCCATATTAGTTCAGGTGGGTAGCTGCGTCAGCATGCGTAGGCTGCAAAGGAACAAGTAATAGGTTTATTCCAACGTTTCGCCGAAACGTTGTGTTCTCTTTCTTCTTTTTTTCAGCATGGAATAAACCTATTACTTGTTCCTATGTATCCATATGCCCCCTTTGTCTGCTTCATTACTATAAAGCCTGTATAATAACACAGTATAATTTCACATCAAGACATTGACATCTTGGTGTCAAGCCCTAAGAGGGGAAAGCTGAGGATTCTTAATATTTGTGAGTGTTAGTTTAAGAGGATAATCCCTTACCCTTATACTGTATAGTGCTTTTCTGGACACTCCACTCAAAGCGCTTTACAGGATATGGGGATTCCTCTCAACCACCAGTGTATAACCCCCACCTGGATGATGTACTAGTATACTCACCACACATCAGCTATCAGTTGGGAGGAGAACAGAGTAATAAATTCAGTTCATAGACTGGGACTATTAGGAGGCCATGATTGTTAAAGGCCAATGGGAAATATGGCCAGGACACCAGGGTAACAACCTTATCCTTTTCAAAAACCACTATACTGTAGTGTGCGCCGTCTTTCAGATGAGATGTTAAACCAAGGTCCTGATTCTGAGTGGTCATTAAAGATCCCCGGGCATTTCTCAAAAAGACTAGGGAGTTATCCTGGTGTCTGAGCCAAATTTCCCCACTCAGCCTTTACAGTGGCTTCCAAATTGTCCCCATGTATGATTGGCTTGCACTTGCCCTGTGATGGACTGGCCCCCTGTCCAGGGTGTACCCTGCCTTGCGCTCGTTGCTTGCTGGGTAGGCTCCGGCTTCCTGCGACACCGTTACAGTACAAAGCGGTTTGGCAATTGACATGACATGATAATCTGGTTTCAAACATTTTCCAGTGGTCACAGTGAAAGTATGCACTGTATTGTATAATGCCATATTGTTGTACTTTCCATGAAACAAGTTAAAGTATTTGTTATACAGTAATTGTTACACAGTACACAAATTCACCTCACTAAAAACATACAGTGTACACCATCCCCGAAATCACAAGAATATTCAACAGATAAGCCGCAGTAAACATTTTGATGTGATTCTTAGGCTTTTTGAAAATCTGGTGAGCCCTTCAAATACAGTAGTTCACTGATTATTTGTCTCTACAGTGGGAAAGGGGTCAGTGGATAATCAATGTTCTCCTTTATTTCAGTTTATTTTATTCATTAGGTTGGACCCATTTATTTTGAATAAAATGGACAGTTTCTTTATAGGATTTTTTTAAAGCAGTTCTCTTGTTTTCACAGGAATTTGTCACTCCAATCCCGAGAGACAGAAAATATGGTGGCTCTGAAGTGCAAAGGACACTAGTAAAAGGAAGGGCGTACTGGAAAATGGAGTGTGCACTAAAAAATAGGAGCGCATAGTAGGATAAGACGAGAAAGTATGAAATTGAATTACCATTCTTTTTCTAGTGTGGGCTTCTGTTTCTAGTCTGTGCTCCTTTTCCTAGTGTGCTTAGCACTTCGATGCCACTGTGTGAAAATGCCCAAGTGACTCAAAAATGTGGCTTGAAACACTGATATAAGATACAGAACATACTGTATGCTGTGTACCTGCTGGAAACAAAACTCTGAACAACTTTAATGTACAGTACTTGTATGTTTTAAGGCAGGCTGTCTGATTTTACTCTCGTTTCTGACAAAAGGGAGGCCCACGACATTCTGTGAAACCATGGGGAAAGCTGACATCTGGCTGATCCGTACTTATTGGGACTTTGAGTATCCAAGACCCTTTCTTCCCAACTTCCAGTTTGTAGGAGGACTCCATTGCAAACCAGCCAAGCCCCTGCCAGAGGTAATATCTTTATCATGTCACCTTCATTGTTTTGTTTTAAATGGTATGAAATGTAGGGGTTGTGAAAAAGGGCTATAAATATAGCAAAAAGGATTGTGGGGGTATGAAGAAGGTACACTACCATACTGTTCAAGTCCATAACATGGCTTCCTTCAAAATCAAATGTTTTCAAGTTGAATATGGTGACAAAACTGACCCGTGGAATTATAGACCAATAGGTCTGAATTCTATTATTGCAAGATTATAGAAGTAAAACTCATCTTGTGATCATCTACATGGAAATATCCTTCTTAGGGAATAGTCAAGAATGTTTGGATTTAGAATTGCTCAATAAACAGAGACCACAGATAAGGGGGTAAATACTAAAATTGTGGTGACATAATTAGCGGAGTACAACAGGGATCTGTACTAGGACCACTGCTTTTCTTGATTCATATCAGTGATTAATTCTGGTAGAATAAGTAAAGTAGCCACGTTTGCAGGCGATTCCATATCAGAAGTATTAGTGATTGGTACAGAAGCAGCAGGTGAAAGTAAAAAATATTTATTTAAAATATAAGGCAGGGAAAACATCTAGCATCTTCTGATATACTGTATATATTATATAGAAATGTTAACTATTTATACTGTATATCAGTCTGATTTATTGTTTGCCGTTAATACAGAACATGGAAGAGTTTGTGCAGAGCTCGGGAGACGATGGTATTGTGGTATTCTCTCTTGGATCGATGGTAAAAAATCTCACCAGAGAAAAGGCAAATATTATTGCTTCTGCTCTTGGACAAATACCACAGAAGGTTAGTCATTATTTAAACTCTCATGTTAGAAATAATGAGTCTCCAAAGTACAAATGGCTCTCATGCAATTGTTTGGAGCAAAACAACTTAGATTTTCATATTTAGTTTAAATCACTACTGTACATGTATTTTATTTATGTGTGTGAATTAATTTGTTAGGGAGAATGCATTTTGGGTAAACTTTCATTAAGTAACTTACCCACTTTCTGAATAGATAAAAATATATTAACTTTACTAATTACACTTTACAAGATCTAAAATTTCTGGGCATTCAGTTATCAGTGATAATAAAGCAAACATTTGTCTAATTTGTTCAGAACAATATTAAAGTCGAAAGGAATTCTCATTTAATGGCTTTGAACTCCACTCAATATTTATTTTGAGCGACTTCTAATTTTGCATTTAAACTTTGGCTAAATTGTTATTATCACTTGATTAATCATGCAAAATGTACTCATTTGTGTTTTTTATTATGCATTGATGTGTGAAGTGAATTCCTGATGAGCATGTTTTTGACCAGTTTAAATAAAGCAAATGTTTGTTTTATAACTGATAAAGGCTAATTCAATACTAATTACAACAGAACGTAATACACTGACATGTGTTAGCAATACAGTCAATACCTTACTAATACCATTTGAGTAAGTATTGATCAATTTATTTGGCAATAAAATGGTGCATTCAGTATGTACTGTAAACTGAGAACAGTCTTAGACTCGTTCACCTAATTTATGTATAGTAACTGGACCAACCGATAGGTTGATCAAAGTTTTGTTGCTAATACAGCTTTTTACAGTGATCCCATTAGAACCGTCTGTTGATAACTCAGTCCTTGAGTCTTTTATGAAAGTTGCTCAAAACCATATAAAGTAAAAAGTTCAAAAGCAAACCTTGGGGCTCTAGGCTCTATTGAGTCTTTCAACGTGCTGTAATCAGCTCCTCAGCACTAGTCAGTCATACAAGGAATTTGGTCACATTTACTCTGTCAAAACATGGTGGGTTTTCCCATTAGTGTTTTTTGATTGATAGGTTCTATGGAGGTACAGTGGTGAGAAGCCAGATACCTTGAGTCCAAACACCAGAGTTTATGACTGGATTCCTCAGAATGACCTTCTAGGTAAGGTGCTGGAATTGCAATGTTTCATTTTCTCTTGTAATCTGTGGCAAAACAGCACAGATTTGATTTTTCTTGTGTTGTCTTTTGAATGCAGTGAACTGTTTGTCTGTTTGTTATGTACGCTGGCTATTTATTGCATGTTGAAGTTGTCTCTTCCAATGGCCTATGAGAAACAACCTCTCATGTTTGATTTTTTTTGTGTTCTAAAGGGCTTTGAGATGAAAAATCACAAAAATACAAGGATCATCATTATTTTGTGTTTGAATTTCTCTTTAAAGGTTTTGATGAGATACATTTAACTATGGCAATTCTTTGCTTCTCAGAGTTGGGGCCCAGGATTCAATTCCAGGTGCTCTTTTTGGGGTTTGTATGTTTCCCCATGTTGGCATGGGTTTCCTCTGGATGATCCAGTTTCCTCTCACAGCCTGAAGACATTCTGTCAGGTTAATTGGCTTTTGGAAAAACTAACCCTGGAGCGAGTGTGTGTGTGTGTGTGTGTCTGTGTGCCGTGCAATAGACTGGTGTCCCCACCAGGGTGTATCCTGCCTTGCACCCACTGCTTGCTGTGATAGGCTCCTGCTTTCCAGTGGCCCTGTATTGGATAAAGCTTGTCCTAACACTACTCTGAACGGGACTATGCCTATTCTTGCAGAATGTTTCCAGCTTGTGCTTCCTGCGGGGCTACTGAATTTTAAAAAGCAGTTGCTTGTGCTATACTCACAGGACACCCAAAGACCAAGGTTTTCATCACCCATGGGGGGACCAATGGAATATACGAAGCCATATACCATGGGGTTCCTATGGTGGGCATCCCTCTGTTTGGTGACCAGCCCGACAACATGATGCACATGAAAACCAAGGGAGCAGCTGTTGTCGTCGATTTCAACAACATGGAATCCAAAGACCTTGTGGATGCCCTCAGCACAGTGATAAATGACACGTCGTAAGTCACATTTTAGTTTCACTGTCACCTTTGTAAGACGAACCAGAGCTGAAATGTTACTCACTCAGCAAGACTAATAAACCATTCCGAAAACACAATTAATGTGCGTCAGCTTACCTAAATTAAACACCCGAATAAAGTTATCATTTAAATTGTTCGTAGACAACCCTGCTTCTTAAAAGGCAACTGGAAAGACTTATTAAAAAGGATAAATTAAAGCCAGGGATGCTGCAAAATGAGAGATTGTTTTCCTGTTTTAGTTTTTTAAGCCTCTCTAAGGCTATAAAAATATACTGCATAATACTGTGTTTAACTAGCCAGAACCCGAGTCTAACCCTGTGCTTTTCCGAGCCAGGTTTCTGCAACTGCTTCCTCAACAAAAACCTCCTCTGTATTGTGTCAATGTCGGGAAACGTTAATCATCACATTGTTCTTATCCTTCATTACCAGGTACAGAGAAAACGCCATGAGGCTTTCGAGAATCCACCACGATCAGCCGATGACGCCGCTGGAGAGGGCCGTGTTCTGGATCGAGTTCGTCATGCGCCACAAAGGGGCCAAGCACCTGAGAGTGCAGGCTCACAATCTGGCCTGGTACCAGTACCACAGCCTGGATGTCATCGCCGTGCTGCTGGCTGCTACGGCAGCAGTGGTGTTCGTCCTCATCAAAAGCTGCGGCTTCTGTTTCCGGCGATGCTGCAGGAGGGCAAAAGCAAAACCCAAGAAGGAATAAGTCCTGGTCACTGAGTGCTTCATTTCACTTTCGGATCCAATCCGGGATTTTTTTTCCAGTAATCGGTGAAACCGCGATTATAATCTTTATATAAGGGGTCAATCAGTGGTAAGATGCCAAAAGTTTGGAGTTCGTAATGAGGTTCAATACGTTCGAGTGGGGACTGCATCTGTGTGCAAAAGAACAAGTATGGGTTAATTTTACATGGAAAAATACAAACACAATATTTATGCTGCAAAGTGTTCTTCAGATGTGAGGTGGTAGTCCTTCCACCCGAAGCGGCTCAACAGTCTAGACGCTATGATTCTACTTTCTACCAAACAGGTTCAATGTGTACATGTCTACGACACTTTGTGCTTTGATGTGGCACCTCTGGTATTCTCTGGAGAGATTTCAGAGATGTTTTTTTTTTATTTCAAGTCGGTCTTAAACTCTGCATGGAGTCCCAGCCTCTTCTACAGTACCTATGGCTATGAGACTGACCCTCGCCAAGCTGGGATCAGAGATCCCCAATTCAGTGGCGAAACCAGTCTTGTGCAGGCAGAGTAGGGAAGAGACTGTTTCATGCTCACCAAAACAGATTAGTGCCCTCAGCTTTACAGTGGGCGTGCTATTCTCAGGGGGAGGTACTGTAGCTGAGGCCTGAGAGAGAAGAGAAAGAAAACAAGTGAATCAGCTAAGATTTCCTAGCTAAGGTGCAGGCCTGGATGGGAAAGGGTAGTAGCATATGAATCAGTCCAGTCCAAGGGGTGTGGAATACTACAAAACCTAAATACTCAATAAACCTGCCTAATTCTTGAGTGTTGTTATTCCCCCTGATAGCACTTGAAAGAAAAATCATCTGTAAATTATAATATATCACGTACTGTAGGCAAGAAAAAGGCTAGGGAAACAAGCATAGAAAAACTGACTTACAAACTACTATATTTTAAAACTGGGAACTATTAACAATGTGCCAGTTGAGGTCAGGTAGAATCCAACCAGTCTCCGTGTTTACATCCATTATTATGGGTAACCCAATGCATAAGTTGCAATAGATAAATGTAATGAACTGTAGTGTAGATGTTCCTCATAAATGTGATGTTTAAATATGCACAATTATGGTGCAAGTCATTTTGACTAAATGAACAGAAAGCTGCAGCACATTGCTTCAGCTTTTCAAATTTATTACACTACAAAGTATGCCTTTAGAATTCCAAACATGATTAAGTGTGTAATTGTCATTATTCCAAATAGATGTTCTGAATGATATGTGTATGTGCAGCATACAGTATCTTTATTTTTGGTGTTAACATGTAGACAGCTATTCTGAATACTACTCTCATTGATAATGCCCTGTAGAACGTTGGTTAATTTTGAATGTCACTAAAAAATAGTGTTAATTTATATGTTTCTGATGTGAGTTAAATTAACTTTTTTCTCCTGTTTATTTCCACCTGTTTATTATGCAATTTTTTTGTATTTTGTGGATAAACTGCAGAATCTTTTACACTTTTGTTTATATCCACATTCTCGTGCTGTCTACATGTGGAAAGGAATGCTGAGAGCTGATATGTTAAATATGGTATTCATTTGGTTGATTGGTATGATACAAAATAATAACCATATTAAATAAATTTGTATATATTGATTTATGTAATGTTTCAGAAATATTATTGAATTATTATTGTTGTTTTTTATATACATACAACAAATAACTTTTGTAATTTGTCTGTATTGATAAACTATATCTTGAGATTAAACCTGAATTTTGAAAGCAATGCTTATATTAATAGATGAAAAGGTTGTTTTCAATAATTAAGAATCAAACATCAAAGTCAGGGTAAACTTGAATAACTGAATTCACAAAGAGCAGTGATAGGCTTTAAAATTAATTAGTAGTTAGTAATTATCTAACTACTCTCTAGATCCTATTACTACTGAAATGTTATGGGGTGATAGCATGTTTAACCAACAAAAATGCAACTGGAGAGGATTAGGACTGAAAAGGCAAAAAACACTGTGAACAGGCTTCAGCACAGAAGAAATGTGGTCAAGATGGAGTAGGAAATTTGTGTTGAGATGCATGTGCAATAAAAGTAAAGTAAAAAAGCATTTCTGTGCTGAATTGTCTTTGCATTGAGTATCAATAAATGCTCAATAATATTTATCACATTTCTCATTTATTAGTTGTATTTTAGTACTTCAGATGTCTCTATAATTTTGGCCACAGTTGCATACACTACTCTTTTAAAGTAAGTCTACCCATCCAACATCAGAAAGTCCATTCTTGATAAGGGCTGTGACAACCTAGAGCCCGTCCCATTTGCACAGGGGTAGAAGATGGGACAGGATAGCAGTCCATGACAGGACACACGCATTACAAAACACGGAAACAGTTTAGACACCCTTAACCTTACCAACATGCCAAGGAAAACCGGAGCACCTGAAAAACATGGGCACAGGGGGAACATGCAAACTCCACACCAAGGACTGCACATCTGGAATCAAACCCAGGACCCAAGGGCCTATGAGACAGCGGTGCTAAATGTCAGTGCCATCAGTACTACTGTACATATTTCCTCCAAATGCCTTCACACTGATGATGTGTTCATTTTCTTACGGAAACATTTATGATGGGGGCAACAAATTAAAAGGAAATCGAAATAGCAGTCTGAAAAAAGGAATCATTTTGTTTCATGAAAAATGTATTTCTAAATGAATTTAATGTAGTTTTTGAGAAGTTCTATTGAGTGATTGCTGGAAAAGGCTGAGACTGGTGAAAAGACTGAGAAGAGTTTTCTTGCAAGCAAAACTCAGAGTATTTGCACTTCGCATAAGCTTGAGATTACATTGAGCATTCATACTGATTTTGCATCTGACTAAATTTTGAATATAATAGGGGCAAGGTGTATGCGTACCGAATTATAATTTTAAAATTCATGGAGAATGAGAAATGAGGTAACAGTTCAATTTTTCATACTGCAAAACTGTTTCACTCGATTCTGAGAATGTTTGTTTCTCAGTAGACCTCAGTTCTGTTGCTGAGATAATTATATTAGCTCTGCCCTGAAGTCAAATGGTAGAACCTACCCATTCTCAATTCCTGCCAAATTCCTTCTCAGAATTGCTTCCTTTGTGAAAATGAAAATGTCATTCTCTTTTCTTCCCTCAGACATATTTTATCTGGCATTGTAAGCGGCAAATGTTTTGCATGAAACTTCTCAAGTTTGTAAAGCTTTGTGTTCTCTCACTCGTTGTATCAACTCTATTTCTATTTATTAACGTGTTTAGTGTACGTAACCTTTCATTTTAACTTTGTTTTTGGACTATGGTATTTACCATAAACCTGCTGGCAAATGTCTGAGTTTGTTTGTTGTCTTTGGTGTATTTTGTCTACAGTATGTACAGTTCTCTTTACTTTGAGCACAGCAAAGAAATCAGAAGTCACTTCTCTTTCTAGTTTAAGATTTGCCCCCTTCATAGTCACAGTGGATCAGAGCAAGGTCTAGGTCTCCAAAAAAGCAGCATCACACCTAACCGAGTTTAACTGATCCTGAATTGAGTTGGACAAGTTTCTTCAAGTCTATGTAAAGCCTTTTAAGATACATCTAAATATATCATATTATTTTACAATATTCATTTCATTGTTATGCCTGCGGCAACAAACAATTACTGAGATTCTACAGCAAACAGAAGAGATCACAACCTGCGCACTAATCTGCGCATGCAAGATGCAGTTCGCCATTTTTGAAAGATGAGGCTTTGAACCCCACAGCCCACGAATGATACTTCCGGGTTTTGGAACGCTGAAGCTGTTTGTGAGGAGTAAGCCTGCAAAAAGCTTTGTGACGTATTGGCGGAGGGAATTGTGGGTAATCGCATTGTATCAGAGAGGCAGGGAGGTTGGGCGCCATTTTGACAGAGGTGGGTTAGAGGCTGCGGAATGCGGGAGGGTAAAACTGTATTTCTTTAACATATTTTAGATCTATAAACGAGGCAGTTATAAGAAAAGGCAAGACGAATCCACTGCAGATAAACGCCAGGCAGAGAAAGGGCCGGAGGATGGCGGTCGACAGGCGAGATGAGAAAGGTAAACTGCGATATTTTCATTTTTGGGGAAGGGTTGTTTACGGGTAAGTGAAAGACTGGTGGCGTGGAGTGCATTTCTTTTTTATTTGGGTGCAGCGACGTCTGTAATTTATGTTAAATCCTACGTTGTGAAACGCGTGGTTATCGTGATATGTGTCCTCCTGCCACAGGCGGGGTATGTAGAGGAGCCTTTATCCTCCTAATCGATCGACTGTATCGGTGTCGTTTGTCAGCTATCTGCTTTGATTTTCAAGCCAAGCCCCTGGTTATACACTCACTTAGGCCCCCTAAATAACGTTATCCATTCCAATATGCGGTTTAATGCGCACCACAAAATTGAAGTTTGTGGTTTCGGACGTGTTTTCTTCATCGACGTTTTTTCTTTCTCTGCAAATGCTGGAAGGAAGCACGGATGGTTGTTGTAAAGCTTAGATGTTCTTGTTTCCGTGGAGTTAATACGATATTGTAACGCAGAAAGACTGGGCTGGGAGATGCGACTACCCCACCCCGGGTATCCTGTACAAATCTGAGCCTCTGAGCAAAAATGGAGGCGAAAGGCTTATCGTGTAGGCACCTCTCCGTCCTTGTTTACAGATTGGATCTTTGTGGATTCTGACCCGCTCCCTGATCGAGATCGCGAGTGCCAGATTTCCTCCTGATAAAAGGTGTCCCCTAGGCAAAAGGTGTACTTATAATTTTCTTTGATCTGGGACTTTTCTTGCTAGTGGTGCGCAGTGCAGGGGTTACCGTGTTCAGATCCTCCAGTTTCTGCGTTACTGGGCGATCGCTGGGAAACTGCATGGAGTGAGCGCTTTAAAAACGTGACAGGGTATGCATAACGGGAGCTGACAGCTTCTGGTGCTGAATTTGAGTGCCCTGTCAGCATAGGACGGCTGCTGATCAAGCAAGATGAATTTCAGATGGAGCAGCCATCAGTTCGGTTTCGCTTTGGGCACATGCTTTGGACTTGCTAGTGAGTGGTTCTGAAGCGACATGGTTTTCATTTTGTATCTGAAGGGCGGTGTTCAATTTAATCTTCGGTCTGTGAGCTTCCCGCTGATAAACTGGCAGAGATGTAGTCTGTTGGTTGGTACTGATATATTGTGTAATGGTCTTATTTTAACTATGAAGTACAGGAGGACAGAAGTGTAACATGCTCGAGGTAAATCGAGGTAGCCAATGTTCTGTAAACATAATCTTTAACTATAGCATTAATCTGAGCTATTATTTGTGTGCAAGAGCTGGTGCTGTATTTAAGGTGGGGTTATGGACTTTTAGAGTTCCATAAATTCATCACTGTATTTCCCACAATGAAATGGAAAACCTCAAGTCAGTTGGAGTAAGAAATAGAGGGGCAGCCATGATGAACAAATAAACATCTGGGGGGGTCAAGCCACAGACTGCACCCTCCAGTGTCCCAGCACCAGGTATGCAGCCCATAATAATGCCACCATTGAGCAGCATTGCATTCTCAAAATCAGTTTTATTACTTTAAGGAGTGGTATACTGCCTTTTCTTTTCCCACCTGCACCCTAGAACATTGCGTCAATGAGGCGTGTTCCCAGAGTAGAGCTGAATTTGACATTATAAGTTTGTCTGCTTCAGAATTGCATTGTCACTCTTTCGCCATGCAAAATATTTAACTTTAGCTTCAGGCTTTGAACTGATGTTAGTGTATTGAAAGTCAAGTCTCAGACGTGGCATGTAATACCATCTGCCCCTAATCAAAAAGCTTTTTACTCTTATCGAGCCGTGAGAATATCTCAGAAGTATAAGGATCAAGGCAGTTAACCTAACCAACATGCCTGGAGAGAGGTGGGGACCACCCAGGACCCTCGGAGAACCATGCAGTAGCAGGGAGGACGTGCTGATCTCACACGGTGTTTTCATACAAAGTTGAAAGCTTTAAACATCATGTCACTCGTGATTAAAGAAACACACATCTGTAATGAAGTAAATAGGCAAAATATCAAACATTGTACACTGTTACAGGAGAGGGGTATGTAACCTTATGGTGTGGAAGTTAACCTGCAGGTGGTGCATCACGGACTGTCTGCAGCTTCGAAGGTCACACCCAGAACATCAGTTACAGTGCAGCTAGCTGGTTTTTTATATTGTTCCTGCGCATGGATGTTTTAAATGCAGCGCTACCATGAGCATTTTTCAGCTGGGGTGTCCTTTACGGATTTTGTATGTTTATTTTTGGTACTTTTTGTTGGCAAATAAAACGGGTAACCTTTAAAAGCCTGGAGTGGTTTCTTTTTAAAGAAATCGAACTTTTGGTAATGTAGACTTTGTTTTACGATTCTGTGTATATATAGTTACCCTTTCTAAAAAAACAAGCAACATTTATGCAATAGCAGCACGGTTTCTGTTATACCTTTCAATTAGGACCAGCTTTCATCACTTTAGTGGAAGCCTCTGTAAAAGGGAACTTCAACGCTATTTAATAATTTGGGGGCTAGAAAGAATCAGCATTGATGAGTGCACTTCAAGCCATAATGAAAACAAAATGTACACGGTAACACGTACGACTTCCAATTTACATCACGAAATTGACCACATTTCCAGGCATGTGCATCACCATATTGCCATCATTGTCTGCGATTCAGAATGAGGTACCAAAACTGCAGGTGACTTTTAATCGAATAGAAATACTTTGAACTTTGCAGACAAATACTACTTGTTCAAAAGTGCATTTAGAGTTAACATTGCTGTTGTGAAATGTCTGCTACACAACCTATACTTATGCGCTTGGACATCCCAAAACATTAGCCATGACGATGACTATTGAGCAGGATGGTTCGATTCACATCATAATTCTCTCAAATTTGCGCTCTCATCTGTGGAGAGACCAGCGGTTTACAACAAATAGCAACCATATAGTACTTTCACAAAGTTCACAATTTATGCTTAATTCAGAATTTGTGAAATTTTCCGATCCTGTCAATTAATTTATGTTGTTACCGAGATTTAATAACTAGTCTGAGAAACTGAGGGACTGAAGTTCCCTTTTAAAGGTATAACTTTGAAGCAATAAATATGATTTGTATTTTTTCATGTCCTTTGGACCTTAAATCTGAAGGAATGTCTTTCTGAACTCATGGGACATGATACTTTTCAGATGGTGAACTCAACGTCCTGGACGATATCCTGACTGAGGCACCTGACCAGGACGACGAGTTGTACAACCCTGAAAGTGAGCATGACATCAACGAGAAAAAAGGTGGGGATCTTAGGACAGGTTTGCTGTGGTTATGGAGTTTAATGAACTAGAGACAGTGCCCATTCCTTAAACCTTTGCATGCTTGCAAATGTAACTGAATGACTATATTCCAGGGCGGAGCTGTGGCTCTGTGGCTAAGGATCTGTGCCTGTGGCTGGAAGGTTGCCGGTTCAAATCCCGCAGCCGGCAGAGGAATCCTGCTCTGTTGGGCCCCTGAGCAAGGCCCTTAACCCCAACTGCTCCAGGGGCACTGTACAATGGCTGACCCTGCGCTCTGAACCCCAGCTTCTCTCCCTGTCTGTGTGTCTCATGGAGAGCAAGCTGGGGTATGCGAAAAGACGAATTCCTAATGCAAGATATTGTATAGGGCTAATAAAGTGGTTATGTTATATGATGTGGAAGAACAGCACAGTTCATGTCAGTCTAGAACCTTGAAGCACGGTATCCGACAGAGGTTAACGCCGGTCTCCTTTACACACTTAAGTTTTTATTGCAGGATCGAAACGGAAGAACGACCGGGGTGACAACAGCGAGAGCAAAAGGCTGCGCTCTTCTGGACACTCCACGAGGCAGACAGTCAAGAGGTCTTCGACGGCCACCGTCACCGGCGGCAAGAAGCCAGTGAACCCCAGGGGGCGCCACTCCTCAGACTACAAGGCTGAGGAGTATCACTATGACAGGAACAAGGATTCAGGAGACAGGAGAAACCATGTGGTGAGAGGAAGCAGCTCCAGGGACATCCATAAAGTTCACCACGACAAGTCCATGGGCAGGAGGAGGGAGTCGGACAGACGGCCCAAGCCACTGATGCCTGAAGTGTCAGAGGTAAAGTCCTGGCCTTTCTGTGGAGAGAGACGTGAACTGCACGGCGGAATTGAATATCTGAACATCTTGCGAGTCTTGCTTAAAGTTACACAAGTCTTTTCCGGTCATACATGAGTGCAAATAGACCTCATATCTTTGTGGTCCTTCTGGGATATGTTTTACCGTTTGGATATTTTTCTTGAGATATTGCTTCATATGTAGATTTTAGTTTACTTTTATGTTCATTAGGGCTCACCCATCCTTTCACCCGGGTTCAGACCATAAATAGTATGTATTATTGATTTTTATTGTATTTCACAGTCTCTCGCAAGTCCCTGTCAAAGCAAAAATAAAAAAAAGAATTAGCTTGTTTTAAATCTTGTAACCCCGAATTTCAGGGTTTGTGGAGTTAACATAAAATGTGCCCCTAAGAACTTTTTGCCCTGTGAGCAAACCATAATTGAGATATTCTGTTATTTATCAGGCTTTAAAAGTCATCTTGGCTCCTGGTTCTTAATTTTGGCTGTTTTAAAATAGCATTTTTTGTGTTTTCTGAAGTTAAGGAACTGGCTGGACATCTTTCCAGTTCTGTTATTCGGATATGGAAGAATATTTAGGGCAAGTAGTACATTGTGTTGAGCTGGGTTCGCTGTATTTCATGCATATAAAGCAAACGTCGTGTAAATAAGGCATTATCTAGACGCTGCCATGTTTTGAGAGTTTTATCATTTATTTTCAGAGAGAAAATTGCTTATTTTTTTCCTTAAAAGCAGAAGTTGAGGCGCACCAGCGAGGGGAGTGTGGGCCGGTTGAGTCGCTCCTCCAAGGAAGAGGGCAACTCCGAGGACTACGGCTCGGAGCAGGAGACAGGCAGCTCGGGGGCGTCCTCTGAGGGGAACCACTCGGAGCTGGAGGAGGAGGGCATGGAAGACGAGGAAGAGGAGGGAGAGAAGGACGCGGAGGAGGAGGATGAAGAGGAGGAAGAAGAGGAGGAGGAGGATGAGGAAGAAGGCGAGGAGCAGGAGGAGGAGGAGGAGGAGGAATACGAGCTGGAAGAAGGGGACCAGCGGGAGGGCAACGAACAGAACGACTATGACACCCGCAGCGAGGCCAGCGACTCCCAGTCTGAGTCTGTCTCCTTCTCCGAGGCAGAGTCCGTGCGCTCTGGCTCAGGGTCCGAGGCCTCAGGTAACTCATATTTCTGTTAATGTTCTTATTCTTTTCCCTCAGTAATCTGCCAGACTCTGTACATTTTGAATGAGTGTTCATTTCATTGGCAATAGGTACTTTGTAAAACTTAAACTCAGCAGCTTTTATTTCTTATCCTGTCCTCCCCCTCTTCTTTTTTTTTAAGAACTAAATTTGTTCACTGACTTATACACAGCTGATTCATACTAAATAGGCCTGAACCCTGTCTGTAAGACCAGTCGTCTTTTAATTCTTAGTGCCTTTTGGTCATTGTTTTGGTCAATGTCTGTCAATCTCCCCGACTTTAGACATTTCCCATGTGCTCTGATGCTGAACAGTAATCTGCTGTCAATGTAAATGTTGAGAATCTTTCGTGATTACATAACTGACCAGTCTGTTCATTGTAATCATGGGCTGACTTGCTACTTTGGTGTTTCAAAAAGAAGTAGGCAAATACAGTAAAGAAAGTTAAGTCCTTTTAAAACAATAAGTTTGAGTGCTCTAGAGCAGTCCTTTACCATTGTAAAGGGACACTCTAACATAAGAGACATGTTTTCCAATTTACTGTTCAGATAAGGACAAAAAAGAGAAGAGGCGGGCTAGAAGGATTTCTCCAATCGTTTTTGATAGAAGTGGAAGCTCAGCTTCAGAATCATATGCAGGTATTAAAGATCCCCAACCAGTTTTAACCAGTTTTCTGCATTTTCTAAGGAGACGTTTAGGTTCACATTTATCATTTTATCACAATTGTAGTTTATTTACTGCTTTTGAGTGTAAACTAACCTGCTTTTGTGTTTTCCGAAGACCAGTTGCTCCTGGTCCAAGTATGTACTGTGTACTTGATATTGTATTATCATTTCACACATCATTTTTAGTCTGTTTACCTGTGGGATACAAGTTTGTGTAAGGTGTAAATCTTACATAGATTTTCTACCAAGTTTTTCTACCAAGATCGATTTTCTATTGGTTTTTCTACTAAGGTTTTATATCTTAGTGAACTGGCTAAGCCAATATGGTAATGTTTTCAAAATGACAATGAGGTGAAACTAAGTAGAACATGTGGAATGCTTTATTTTTACCAGATCACTTTTTCAATGGAAAAGCAGGTCAGATTACATCTAATACAAAAGAAAGTGCATGTGACATCTTTGTTTCTGGCAAAAACCTTCCTATTTAGTTTCATTAGTGATGTCTGGTCTTGTAGATTTTCCCTTAGCTCTTGAATATGATATTGTAAAGGGTGATATTCACTGAAAAGTGTTAGTTTAAAATGAATTTATTATGAAATTATGAAGAGATTAAGAGTAGACCATAGGCATATGCTTGTGTCTGCTCATACCATCTACTGGTTTGGCAGCTTCACTGGCTGCCTCGTAATGTGATTGTCTTACATTCCTGTTGATCTTTTGTATTTATTTAAACCAAAAAATCCACACAGATTCCTTAAAATTCACGGCATCGTCCTGTCAGCAGAGTGTTTTTAGTTACTCTAAGGCATTTTATGCTTCAGTGAAGTAGTTTTATTTAGTTCTCATTGTAGTCCTGCAAAAAAATCTGCTGCTTTCAAATATGCGTTCTGCTCTCGTTTCACATACAATGTTTTCATTACGTAGGGTCTGAGAAGAAACATGAAAAACTTCCTTCCTCTGTTCGAGCTGTTCGTAAAGGTGGGTAATGTAGAATTCATAGTAACTGTGCTCCGGTTGTTGACTGTTACGTTTTTCCAGAGTAGGTAAACACTTCATTTACAGATTCTAGGCACATACAGATAGTGGACAAAAATAGGGAAACTGGATATATAATGGACGGGTTTTCATCTGTGTATTGTTAATTAAGTGGGTACCATTCCAGCATGATTATGGTCATGTATGAACATTCTGGATGGGCCTGGTTGCATATAATAATGGCTTACATGACTTCCTATGAGACCGCTATGACTTTGAAAGAGAGGTGCGTTTTGGACTCATTTGACAGGAACTTCAGTGACCAAGACAGCTTGCTGATGTTTCACAAGAAACAGTGTCTAAGGGATAACTGTTTCAGAAAGACCGCATCAGTACAACTCCGGGGTTGTGATACCCATGCATTATTTCAATGGGCAAGGCAAAACAGGCAAGCAGCTGCAGATCAATTGACTATCAATTCCCACCTGGGGCAGAGCGGTTTAATGTCAGAACTTCACAGAATGGGAAACCATGGTCAGGTTGCAGTACACTGTTGCAATTTTAGTGGTTAAAAGAGCACAGGAAATGCATTACTGAGCAGCTTAGAAATGCCACATGGTCAGATAAATCATCCATGCTCTCCACAAAAATTTCAGTCTAAAGAACTCTATAGCCCCGAGTCCTTTAACTGTTTAAACTGGGAAGGGTTTTGTGGGTGCATTTTCCTGCTGTAGTTTTGATGCACTTGTTCCTTAGGTCAGTGCTAATAGGTACTTAAAGGAACAGAGTGATCATCTTCACTGCATGTTGCAATATTTATTTTTTTGCTGGGAGGGGTCATGCATTACATGACAATGCCCCAAAGAGCACATGTGATCATCCAGTGCCTGCTTTATGAGCATGACATTATCAGATGTCACCAGATTTTACCCCATTTTTTGGCAACTTCCTTATAATTGTAGAATTGTAAAGATTTTGTGATATTTTTTCCATGTCATTTGTTCATTCTGGGATTTTTTTAAGCTTTCAGAAGAAATTGGTATGAATTTCATATCTTAAGTCTCTTTAAAGAGACTGGTGTATGCAGATATCATAATCTCAGTTCTAAATTATTGTATAACTTTTTTAATTTAGCGTTTTCCTGTATATAAATAAATTAAGTTGTGGAGGTCAATTGGTTGTGCACGTTGTAGAAAGTCTTTGCTTTATTACCAGTGCTACCAATGGGAGATGCAACTGCATCTTTTGAAAATAGAATGCATAGTGAAAGAACCCAGTGATAAAATATGGTATATATTAGATTTGTAATGTGTAATGTAGACATTGCATGTTTTTTAGAAAAAACATGAAAAGCTATATACATTCTATGAAATTAGAACCTATTGATTTTTTGTACATTTCATTCACTTAACATGCGTTTGTGGTCACAGTATGTCAGTATTTGAAACGCATGCAACTCGTGTACTTTGTGATACCAGCAGAGTTCTGATGCGGTAGTGGGATTCATTAGTAGGCAGGTCTCAGGCAGCAGACTTGCAAGCATTGAGTGAAAAATTGAACTCTTTATTCCAAGTACACAAATACAAAATCTAAAACCCTAACTCCTCTTGACCTCTAACTCTCCATTTGGTCCTCTCTATAAATAGCTGGCAACTAATTTGCTTCCATCATCAATCTAACTCGATCTCTAAATGTCCACTGGGTAGTCGGTTGCTTCTTTGCTTTTCACTTGGATGCAGAGCATCACTGAGAGCCTGCTGTCTTGTCTCTGCTTCCTGGTTGAGCTTACTCTGTTTGGGCAGGTAATTACTCACTGCATTCAGGGGTGTTTGGTTCTGGAAACATATGCCATTTTGTCTATACCCACAGCCTCTCGCATCTCTGTACTGTTTTACATCCAGTTAGTGTCTTACCAGGTTGTTCTTATTGACAAAAATATAGCCTTGAATGACTTTTTTTTCAAGCCAGCTTTTCTTAGAATTGCTTCATATTTTAGGTAACGTTATTGGCCTTTCTTAAAATCAACAGTTTTGTGAATGAATGACTCAAATACAATGGTCTCTCATCCAAAATGTTTTTGTAGTTAGGGCTCTTGGATGCATTTTTAGTTGCTGCAATCATTCATACAGGAACTTTTTCATAGTTAAAAGCTTTAGAGAAACTGTATGACAGGCTTTCAGAGGTCAAAACACTTCAAGGTAAGCTTTCATGATTTGTATGCAGTTGGAATGAGTTTGAAATGTAGTTTAACCATTTTAAAAAGTGTTAAAAATTCTTGCTCTGGAATGGTTTGCATAACCACAAAGAATAAAGAAGGATTATTTATTTTAAGTATGTTACTTCTTTATAATGCATTTGCATAAAATAAAAAATCCAAAAAAAGTTAACTTGACGTTTAAAGTTCTTTCAGCGTTAAAAATTTGTTGACAATCTTGTAAAGTGGATTTTACTAATTTCTTGTTATCCTAAAGATGTTATTGACAATTTACATTACCGAATGACTAATAAAACTATACCTTTTCACGACAGTTTCATTTCTGGACCGTTCGAATTCAGTGGTTTCTTCTCCAAGGAGTCCCATGGATTTAATAGTTCACTAAGATACCATAATTAAATTAGATATTGCCTTTTCTGTAAACCAGCCCTTTAGTGGCAACCGTATATGTATCAGAGAAGGAAAATACCTTCTCCCCTATTCTTGACTTATTTGTGCTTTCTATTAAAGCAGTTTTATCACAAATGGAGTTCCAGTGTATGTTAATGCTTTTTTCTTTGTTGTAGATCAGACGAGTAAATTGAAGTACATCCTGCGGGATGCAAGGTTTTTTCTTATTAAAAGCAACAACCATGAAAATGTTTCACTAGCCAAAGCGAAGGTATGTATTTTATGTGGTTTGAAATAGTTTCCCTTCTTTGTTTCCAGACAGGAGATGAGTCAAGCTATCACATTTGTCACTTCTCTCAAGAACCTACTGGCGGCATTTTAATCAGCAGTAAATGTTCTAGTTGAAAATGTGCTATACTGAGCACCTTTTAGCAAATAATGAAATGATTTGTTAGAAGAAGAAATTGTCAAAGAAGGTACATTGGTACAGTTACCAAGATACAGTTCTGAAGAAGAAATTGTCAAAGAAGGTACATTGCACAGTTCTGTACTTTGTGAAATCAATTTCTTATTTTCCTATAGGGATTCCATTGAAGAAATGAGTATAAAAACTAGCAGTGAAATCTGCTATAATATCCAGAGTTTTCACTTCAAATCGACTTTAAATTAGTTTGTGTGTAATTGGTGTCTTTCTGTTTGTTTTTCTGTAAATTGTACTCTTAAAAAATCTGTGAACATTTGGAGTTTTCATTATAGTAAGCTGATGCTTTAAGTTATATAGTACCTGATGGTGTGGTTCTGGCAGTCTGCTTCAAATGTTTTTTTAAGTTGTCAGGCACTTGTACATAAAACTAGATCCTCCTTACCTGGGGGTACAGATGGCCGTGAAAGAAATGGGAGGGATTTGTGCTGCTGTTCAGTGATGGAACTTTTCTTCCCCTTGCTACAGATGTCTGTGTATTCTTTAACTGTGTCCTTCAACTTGTACGACAGGGAAGGATTTTTGCTTTGTAGCTGCACAAGTTAGGACATTTCTGCACGGTAATTTATATCACTCACAGCCTTTTGTTATGTCGCTGTAGGGTGTGTGGTCCACACTTCCAGTCAATGAGAAGAAGCTGAATGCTGCATTCAGATCAGCCAGAAGTGTGATCTTAATCTTCTCAGTGAGAGAGAGTGGGAAATTTCAAGGTACGGCACTGTAACAGATTCAGCCCTTTCAGTCAAAATACCTACTTGTTTGTGTCCGTTTCATGTATTCATGCATGAGCATTCATTGCTGTTCTGGTGTGTGTAGGTTTTGCCAGGCTGTCATCTGAATCTCACCATGGAGGGTCTCCCATACACTGGGTTTTACCAGCCGGAATGAATGCTAAAATGCTCGGAGGGGTGTTCAGAATCGACTGGATCTGCAGGTAATACAACATACACAATTTAAAATGCATCATAGAAGCTTTCATTACATTGTTGTGTAAATGCAGACCCCCGCCCCCCAGTTAATTCAGTTTGACGGAATTACAAAAGATGACATGAATAAAACGACGAGGTTCTGCATTACTCTTCAGTAATAATCAAGGAACGCAAATCGAGGGATAGAAATTGGGAGGAACTTTTTGGCAGAGCTTATTTCTGTAAAAATTTCTGTATTTTGCTAAGTTTGATAACTTTTCCATGTCATGTACAATTTTTTTAAATCTGTTTGAAAAAAGTCTGTAACATGTTGAAATGTGCCCTGGATTTTAGTTTTATACCTATGAAAGTTTCCTTTTGCGCATTGTTTAGTAAGAGGGAGGGGAAAAAGCATTTATTTTTGTCAATTTTTTTTCTTACAGACGAGAGCTACCCTTTACAAAAACGGCACACCTCTCAAATCCCTGGAATGAACATAAACCAGTGAAGATAGGACGGGATGGACAGGTGCTTTTTACCTTTTCTTCCTTTTAACTTTTGTCCATGCATAACCAAAATGATAGTCATGTCCACTAATGTTTTTGAGCTTTTGATAATAGGTTTTTAACATATTGTAAAGTATATATATAGAATAGCATAAAATTTAAAATACTTTTGCAGTGTTATACGTAACATATTCTGACAGATTCATAGTAGTCTTTTAAGTTAGGAATACACAAGCAGTCATAAATGTAATGAATGAAAGATTGCTCTAAGAAAACTCATTGAATTAAATACAGCAAGTGCTTCTAAAGTTTAATGTCCATGTTAAGCAGGTTGAATAATGTGAGTTTTTAATCCCAAGCCTCTTAATTGGTCGTCCAGCTGACAGGTTTGTGCAGTGTTGCAAGGTGTTTATCTCACTTACCTTTAACTCTTATTGTTGTAAATGCTACTAATTTCAGTTTGTCATGCTTGTCATGCCCTGATTACATTACCATCCTCTAGGTAGATATGTCATTTGTACCATCCCCCATAAAACTGCGTTGCACACATATGTCCACATCACAGTTTTGCCCTAGATGTACAAAGCCTCGGAAATGTACAAACAGTCCACCACAGGTATTCAAGTTATCCTTTGGTGTTCTTCTGTACTTCTGTCTTTGAGTGCCTGTCTCAAGCTGTTGATGTATGGTACAGTTTGATCAGTCCATTGCTACCTTGTTTTAATGAGTTGGGAATAGCCTTTCTCACCCAACGAAGTGCTCAACTAAATGTTTTTTTTTACAATAAAAAAACATCACTAGTTTCCTGACCTCATAAGGTCTAGTAACCTTTCAAAACCACCTGTAAGTATTGTTGTCTACCTGTGATCAAATACAAATCTAATACCAATTTCATTTTTAGTTTCTGTTTTAGTTAGGTGGGCTGAATACCCTCTTCTCATTTGTGACCTGCAGATTCTCACAAAGTTTTTAAAGGTCTTACATTGGTGGATGGGAGACAAATGAGCGGTTTAAGTATTTACGTGATCAGTATCTGTGTTTATTCATATTGTAAACTGAGCTTCATGTAACAGTTTGAATGTGTAGATGCTGCTTTGCTGCTCCTCAGGCGCTTTCCCTGGAGTAGTTAGAATGTGAAAATCAGTGTAAGACAGCAGCTCGTTACAACTGACTGGGGTGATGTGCAGCCAGGAAGGTAATGCACATGAAGTTGCAGTTTTTTCCTCTGAGATGGAGTAGTTAGTAATCCTTACCTATTACCTATTGATCAATCAGACTCTGTCGGATTAGGTGCGGTGTCTTAAGTTTGAACTGTTGTCTTTTCTGTCCCCTTTAATTGATTTGTTTTTGTTTTCCCCCCCTTCGTCCGTGGAAAGGAAATCGAGCCGGAATGCGGAACCCAGCTGTGCCTGCTTTTTCCACCTGATGAAAGTATTGACTTGTATCAGGTTATTCATAAAATGCGTCACAAGAGGAGGATGCACTCGCAGCCGCGCTCGAGAGGACGTCCTCCGCGTCGAGAGCCAGGCCGTGATCTGGGAAGGTTAGAAACGTTCTTTGGACCCGCTAGTAAGCGCTTGTGTTGGAGTTACGTGACGGAGTTCTTGAGATTCACCAGCCCCAGTTCTTTCAACACTGCGAAGAGAAAGAAAACGAAATCCTCAAATCAAGCTGCACGGACGTTTTGTGGCTTCATTGAGGATTACATGCCAGTTTTTTTTTTAAGCCGAAAAAAGTTGCAGAATGGAAGTGCCTTTCTCACATGCGTAACGTCCCGACACCCTAATGAAACTAGGTGCAATCTTATCAGTTCTTTATTTTGGTTAGGAGGTGGGAGTAAAATGCATGCCTTTTGTTTTGGTAGATTTTTGCAAAAGATCATTTGTCCAAAATCTAGAACAGCTGTTTTAAATTTGTTTCCAAAGCCTTTTCTTTCAGGTGTATCCCTGGGGATAAACATAATCAGATATGGGACTTTTTAAAAAGAAGCCATAATTATTAAGCAGAAGATGACGCCTCGATTTGAGGGGGGAAAAAATGCTGATAAAAATGCTTTCAAGAGGAGCATTTTTGCGGGACTTTCCACAGCACAGTAATGTGTTGAATAAGTATAGATACATGTGTATGTAGCCACAGAAAGAGCACGCGTCCTTCTGCCACGCTGCGGGAGAGTGCTAGGCCAGTTTGGAAAAGGGAGTCGTTGGCCTTTGGGAGACCCGGCAACAAACCAGTGGCGGGCTGTTGCTGTGTCTGTAAACAGTCTTTCCTGGTACTTGTCGCAGTGCCTGTGGACTCAAGTGTTTTCAGAGATCATCTTAAAAGAGCACTGCTTTATTTGAACTGTGTATGTGTACCACGCTCTCTTGAGTGGGGAAAAAAAAGTTCTTACGTGCTCAAGCAGACCTGTAAAAAAAAAAAAATTAAATGTAAAGTACAAGAAACGGAGATCTATGGCCCATGAACTGACATATCCGGTGCTCCTTACAGTGTTTTTTTTTACCCCACTTGCAAGCATGAAAGGAAATGTATTGGTTTACACTGCTCACTGCTCAAAAGGACTGTGGATGTGTATTTTGTGATGATGCTAAAGCCCTTGATAGAAGTTTTCCCCTGTGGAAAAGCATCCTGTGGTAGGTAGGAATACCCCAAGGAGTAACCCCAATTCCTTACCTAAAAGGACTTTGCTCAAGTAAGGTAGGAGGCAATCTGGCAGTACCCCCATTTCCTTAAAAGGCTTAAATGGACTGAGAACCCAAGAGAAGTTATACACCAAGGGGGTTCACATTGCTGTGTAGAAAAAGAGAAAAGACGGAACCCCATTAATATTTTTGTTTGATTGCAATGGACTGCAAAGTGTCAGTGCTACCCAAATGGCACCCCTTCTCTGCCTTGCCAGGTCCTCCTTGTAATGTTTGTGGCTTTAGACCCTAAATGATAAGCTGGACTGCTTTTATGAACTTTTACTATCATAATTATTGCCATCGTTAACAGTCACAAAACTACAAGAAAAGCGGTATGTTACTACTTTAACCAGCTTCTTTCAATTTCCTGTAGTTTGTTTATTTCTGGGTTTTGGACAATCTGTAGATTTTTAGTTTAAAATCTTTCAATTATAAAGTAAGTAATGTAGTAAGAAAATATCACCATTTTGCCTGTAAAATTTGCAAATTGCACTCAGGATTTTTAATATACAAGTAAGTTTTCAATGTTGATGAATGTAAAGAGACTTAGTAATGTTATTGTTTTAATTATATTTTAAAGATGTTTTAAATGGGTATTAATCATTAGAGATATTCAATGCAGGGTTATTTTGGTAGGAAAAGCTTGATATTATAAATTTTGCTGTGAAAAGGCTTTCATGAGGACTTTTCATTGTGTTATATAAGTCATCTGCAGTAGGTTCACAATTTCTTTTCAGAATTTATAATTCTGAATTATAAAAATAATTTAGAATTGTGAATTATTTTTTGACAGGATCTAGAATATGCAATTTATTACATGCATTAAACTAAATGAGATTTCAGAAATTTTGTGCAAATGGTTTCACATGTGAAACAGCAGCAGAAGGGAAGTTAAACAGTGTTCGTTTCCTGATCATTACCTTAAAAAAGAGCCTTATGCCTTAAGACCTGATTGGAAAACATTTTTCTGGTTCCCCCTTTTATTTCTTGGGAAATTGTGCCTGGATGCAGAAATGATTATATGTGATCAGTAAACATTTTTTTATTCTTAAATCATTGCACTGACATTAATTTGCCTATTGTTGCTGCACAATGAAACCATTACTGTGTTTACAAAAATATGACATGAATTTCTAGTATTTAAAAAAGTCCTCATGTTTTAAGACCAAAGGCAAATTTACACATACTCTTTTTGGGAGATGAATGAAACAAAAGCAGAGACTCCCATTGATGTTCAACACACTGTTAAGAATGTCAATGTTATTTTCCTGCATCTTTCATTTAAGCCATTCATAGTGGAGCAGCAAATTTGCAGAGGTTTTATGTTAATTAACATTTTATGTTAATAGCTGGATTAACGAAAACAGTGGCAAGAAGACTAGAATGGAAGAACCATAATCACACTGCTTGCTTGTCATATAGCATTCCCCTTATATGATGTATGAGCATTTTCTGTTTTTTTAAGTGTACTGTGCATATGAAGTGCCTATTATTAATTGGCAGAAATTAATCATTCTTTATCAACCAGCTTGGTAGAAGCCATTTTTTCTCCTTTTCTAAAAACAAATCTTCAACTGTAAAAAGTTATATTTCCTTAGGAAATGCCTATATTATACATAGTTGTATAGAAATAATTAATGATATGTAGCCACTAGGCAGAGCACGGACAGTTAAAATGTCAAGTCATAAGTGTAGAGATTAATTTGTTTTTTTTCGTGGGTAAACAGATGGAAGCGCTCAGTACTTTGTCATCTCGGTACACTTTGAAAAGTAATCCCATCTGAATTTTTTTAAATGGATTATATACTAAGATTCAAGAATTTATGCATACCTAATTAGGTTTGGTTCACCCCAGTGCTTATCTCAGTGTATCTTCACCTTGTATTTTGCTTTGCCTGATCTCCCTTAATTAATATGTTTAAATTTGCCTCGTCTGCATATGGTTAGTAGGCATTACAGTTCAGATTTTCCAGATTGTCCTTCTTTAATACAGTTAACCTCTGTCAGGATTAATAACTGTTATACAGATGTTGTAAAGTTGTCTGTGTATTGTTCAAGTTGTTGTTAATTATTTACCTAATTCGTGTAGGCGTCGACTGGAGGAATATGACATGCACAGCAGAAAAAGACCAAGGATTGACTATCCACCAGAATTTCCACAGAGACCAGGTCATTATAAAAAACTTAATTAACGGGGACATTTCCAAAAACACGTCTTTAGACACTCAGTGGTTCTTTTCAGTCCAGTTTAGAACGGTTTAATTTGGTATTTTCTCTTTTAATTGAAAAAGGGGTCCTCTCAAATCTTTTTCATTTTTGAATGCTTTGTGACAATTTCCTAAGGTTCCAGTGAAATTTCTCGATGTTGCAGAGTGTATTTTGTGATGCAATGGATTGTAGGAGCAGTTGAGGTGAGTATGGTCATCAGAAAATATTTTATGTTGCCATCTAAAATTCTTGGGTTCAGAACTGCATTAGTATGCAAGCTGCAAAGGAGCAAATAGAAGTACTTTGAAAATTAAGAACTATTTCAGCTTAAGGATCATTGTCTTCAGACGAGAAACACTGGAAGAAGGTCCCACAGTCAAAACAACTTGAAAATGATCAACTTGAAACATCTGAAGAATGCTGTACAGCTAAAGTTTTCTTCTTTTCAATTTGGAGTTTACTTTGCTCATCTTACATTGTTGGTGTTGAGTATAATTTTCAAAACCTGCCACCCTGCACCACAATCTGATTTCTCTCAACTATAAACTTACGTATTTTTGCAAGCTTGAGAGATATAGTGTACTTCTGGCCATATTGTTTAGAGAGTGAGTTGCCCGGTCTATAAATAAATTGCTGTATTTCATTTTTCAGTCAATTGAAAAGTCTTTTAAAGTGAGCAAGACCTTTGATTCATTTTAATTCTGAGGAATTTTAAATATGGGAATTTCTCACACTAAAGCTGCTGTATTTCAAGTCTGAATTGCTCGGACAAGTTGTAGATTTTTGGCTAACCCATGGAGATTAGTACCGTTTGTCTTCCGAGTTGTCAAGAAGCTGTAGGGAAGAGTTGTTTACCCAGCTGTCACATGTCAGGTGTGGTTAGCCAACTTTTTGAGTAACATTTGCCCTCCCCCCTGGTGGCCATAACAGGAATTCAGACTTTGGGTCTTTATTCAGGTCTTTAGGACACTTATTTTTTCTGCTCTTAAATACTTTTTGGCATAAGGGCATTTAGATACATTTTCATTTTTTTTTCTTCTCAGCTTAAGGAAAATACTATGTTGAATCTTACAGTGTTAAGGAACCTTTGAAATGAGTATTGAAGAATTTGGAAATGATGCACTTTCTGGTTTTTCCCACTTTCAGTCATTTTTGGAGAACAGATCTTTACCTATTTTAAAATATAGTTATGTCATTAAATTGTGTAGAAGTGTCTAGCAACTGTTGTCATATTTAGTTGTACTAAGTAATATATTATACTTTTATAATATTACTATTAGTTCCCTCAGACAGTCTTGGAACTAAAAATGTGACTGCTCAGAAAATTATTTTCCTATTCACAAGTAGTGTAGGGTGTATTTTATCTTGAATTTTACATAATCATATAATTACAATTGGAGTTTTTTTGGCTCACATATGCTAGTATGAGAAAATATGATGGAGTCATGTATGTGAATAGTTTAACCAGAGCCCTGAATATTTAAATTGACCTAAAACTGGATCAATTTGAGGAAAGTGGCAGGAAATAAGGGTTTTTGCTCTTATTGGTATCAAACTCCGGCATAACCCATTCATTTGTTGTTTGAGTAGGTTTCATGAAAGATCCTCAAAATCAGCCTTTGGACAGGCAGGTTGTTGATAAGTTGTATCTTAAATGTTTTTTCTTCTTTTCTTCCCCTTTATCAAATGTATAGATCCACTTTTAACAAGTAACTTCATTCCTAACAGACGGTTTTCTGGAGTTCGACGGGATGTGTTTCTCAATGGGGTGAGTTTTGTACTACCAACATCTTTCTTAACTGTGAAATAAGTCTTAGGTGGAATGTAAATTAAATGTGATTAAAAATATGAAATCCTGAATAATGAAATGTTTAATTCAGCCTTAAAAATGTTATTTTAATTACTGCTTTACCTATGAAGCCTTAAAAGGAAAGTGGCTTGAAGAACAGTGCTGGTGTTTGTTGGCCGATTAGTGTTTAAACTGCTTAACAGGAAAGGAACCCAAGAGAAGCAGTTGTAATTAGCAAATTCAAACTAAATTGTCCAGGCTATAAGGATGATTGTGGCTATTTTAGTTTTAGAATTGCAAGATTTTTTTTCACACATCCATCTGATTTGGACATGCCAGTTGTTTTCACCTTTTGGCTCACAGCTACAAGCCATCTTGACTGCAGACTGGAAAACAATGGGCAACCTTGAGGCCCAGTGCAGATAAGAGAGGAGGTTCAGCCCACATCAATCACCACTCATCCAGTAGTAGAGCTTGCTCATTTGCAGGGAACTGTAGCCAAGCTCATATCACCCACCCTGAATGGCTCAAAGCCAATTGTATGGTTCCATGTGGGAAAATGTAGGGACAAGACCAAGGATTGTGCAGTTCAGCCCCAGCGTAGGGGCACCTATGAGGTTAGAACCACATTGAGAGGCCCAGGCGAACATTTATGTTCTTTTAAAATCAAATCATATGGAAGAAGGTGAAATCTTACTAATCTGCTTCTCATAATCTTGGGGAAGGAACATTATGATCAGATCAGTTTTAGGCTTCACCTTTCAGATGCATTTACTGCCTGGAGTGCTGTGTGGCACCTATTGAAGTTCCCCATTAACGAGCAAGCCTTTGCTTTTCACAAGTAATGAAGTCCAGCATCTGAATAAGGGGCAAACTCACTTGTCTTAACTCTTTGTTATCGAGATCACCTATATCCTTTTGATCTTTATTGAACTCTCATTCTGATATGTTTTGTAGAGCCACAGTTCCAGAAGTCTTTGAATTTGCCTCCTTGACCCAGGATGAAGTGTGGGTACTGAAAGATGTAGTTATTTGGTCCTTAAAAGGTTTCTTGTTTTACAGTCTTACAATGATTATATGAGGGAATTTCACCATAACATTGGGCCACCTCCACCCTGGCAGGGAATGGTAAGAATAATTTACTTGTCACCCAAAATGAACAATCTATTCATAGATTTTTAAGCTTTTCAATTTGCCGCATCCCACAATTATTTATGTGAATTTTATCACCTCTGTCATTTCCATACCTATTGAAAATAAACTTTGTAACTTTTTTCATGATGTCCTGTGTTTTTGTAGTTCCTTAAGTATGTATGCAAACACAGAGTTGCTCTGGACAGTGTCCAGGGATACATTTGTCTCTTGTTATGTTATCACATTTCCTGGAGGGTCTAGCCTATTTTGGGTTTTGTTCAAACCTGAGTGGTCAAAACAGTAACACTGTAAGGTCTTTACAGTTGATTACTCAAAGCATTTACATGAGTTGTCTATGAAACACCTTGGTGGTGCCAGGTGAGGATTACAATTATGCAGTTCAGAAGAGTTTGGTTAGAACCAAAATCAGAGGCCAATAGGCACTCCAGGAATTTAGTTGACACCCCTGCTTTGTTTCTATCTAATCATACTTGTAAACATTATGTATACTGAAATTGTGGTATACAGTATCCAGGAATCTAAAATTTAACCTTGTAAATGGCAAAGTGTGCAGTCATTTGGCTGAGGACCTAGATCTCTGTTTTTCCTTCGCTAGGCACCTTATCCTGGAATGGAGCAGCCCCCTCATCACCCTTACTACCAGCATCACCCCCCTCCTCCTCAGACTCATCCTCCTTACTCCGGACACCACCCGGTGCCGCACGATGCCCGATACAGAGATAAACGCATTGTACGTTCGTTTACTTCGAGTCTGGTAACATTCCAAATCGTTAAATCATCTTCGAACGTGACTACATTTTTTTTTGATTGACTTTTGATTGACCAATTTTTTTTTACCAGACTCAGTTCTTCATTTCTCTACTTTTTCATGATTTTGTCGAATCACATTCGGTTATGACTGGTTTAGTATTTGTGTGCTCAGCCTATCTGAGCCCTTATAAGTAATAGGTTTTAATTACTAATCCAATTTTAGTGTAAAACTGTGTGGCACATTCTGATTTTCATTTATTTGGAACTAGACAAAGCTTGAAAGATCAAAAATCCTTATTTTAACATATTGTAGCCCTCTCGGGTTCACGTGGGTATGCGCCCTCAGCGCTGCCGCCTCGGGTCAGCCCCCCACCGCTGGGGACTCGAACCCGGGCCTCCGGCATCACTCAACAGGGACCCAGCCAGTTGAGCTAAAGGGACATCTACCCTCAGCCCGACAGCTGCGGTCCCTGCTATTCACAGGGAAGGGCGGTGACGTCACCGCGCTGGTAAGCCGGCTTGCACAACCTGCAATGGTGGCCGTATGCGTTACAATATATTCCTATGAACATTAGGTTACATAGGGTTAATATGACCAGTTTCGGTATAAAAAAGTGAAGGTTCAAGTCGACTGGAAATACACAATGTATCCATTGAAATTGTACATTTGATCTTTTTAGGTGACATCACTTCTAACATTGTAATGATGCAGATTCAGTCTGCTGATGTATGAAAAGATACCCAGCTATGTTGTTGAAGCCATCGCTTCTTTCAGGAAATGGCTGGTTGAGATCCATATTCAATGAGCTACCCTCTGCCAAATGGGGAGTATTAGCTGAATCCCCTCCTTTGTGACCTCTATGCTCTTATCAAAACCAGCTTGGTAAAATGTAATTAATTTTGCCAATTTATTAATTTACTAAAACCTCCATTCATTGATAGCCGTCAGGCTAGTTTTATGCAGTCACTTTTGATTGATTCTGAAAGCAGGCTTACATGTTAAGTTTTCTGGGCATAGCGTAGTGCAGGCAGGCTGTCATACACCTCAACATGAACGGGCCTTGCGTTCTGTGAATCACTGGTTCAGATCTCTGTTAATCTGCCATTTACCGTCTATGCCTGCAGTTCCCCGTTTCGTTAGCTCTGCTAGGATTGTGTAGGTTCTGTGTAAAAGGTTTCTGGGGGTCTGTGACCTTGCAGCGTAATCAATGGGAGTTGAATCAGGTCCCGAATGTAACCGTTGTTGGCAGGGTGGCTTTGAGTGTGAAAAGAAGAAGGTGGCTTTTTTTTCTAGGTTCAGGTAGCGCTGGACCTAAAAAGTGGCCACATAAGAGAACCTTTTTCTCCTGAGTGCTTTTGCAACCTTTTCATACACTGTATACAACACAAGCAGTTTTCCTAGTCAGGCATTCACATTTTTTCACTCTGAAAATGTCAACAAAAAAAAAAAGGGAAAAAGATTGAGACTCGCTCACGAAGCGTGATATTACTTTCACAGACTAAAGACATGCAAAATCGACTAATATTTTAGACGGGTCACGTTTGGTGCGTACACCCTTTATTAGCCCACCAGGCGTCGCGCCTGTAACCAGGACCTTCCCAGACGCACTGGTTCCCACAAACACGCCGGCGGGCTGAGGTGCAGGCGGGGCCGAAGGAGGGAATGAAGGCCGTGCTGGTTTTTCTCGGCAGCATGACTACGACATGAGGGTGGACGACTTCCTGCGGCGCACGCAGGCGGTGGTGAGCGGGCGCAGGAGCCGGCCCCGGGAGCGCGACCGCCAGCGGGAACGCGACCGGCCGCGGGACGCCCGGCGGGACAGGGAGCGCGAGCGCGGGCGCGAGCGGGAGCGCGAGCGCGAGAGGATCCGGGACCGAGAGCGAGAGAAGGAGAGAGGGCGATACCGAAGATGATGCCATCGGCTGTGTTTTTTTTTTAAAAAAAGCTTCATTGTATTTGAAGTGCTCCTTTTATATATATAAAAAAATCTTTTCCACAAATTTTCATGTTATGTTTCATAAGAACTGTGAAAGCCCCATGTGTTTTATGCATGTAGTATCACAAAACTGGAATAAGACAAATGCAGATTTTGGATTAATTATTGGGAAGGCAGAGGGAATTTTGAAGTCGAGATGGAATTGGGATTTTTTTCTCTTCTGGACACATCTCCTTGTTCATTGCCTCTACTGTTACCCTGTTTTGTATCAGTCTTGAATAGAAAGAATAGCAGGTTCTGCTCTTGCCACATGTCTGTATTTGTAATTGCACATGGTTAAATGAAGATATTGCTGCTAAAAAGTATGCAGTTGTACTTTAACTGCCAGTGTTGTAGCAAGTACCCTTTTATAGTCCTTTTACTTTTCAAGCCATGCATTTTCCAGTGTTGAGTGATAAAAGCAATATTAAGAGATTATTCCCTTTTTTGTTTTTCAAAAAAGAAACCTTTAATCAGTGCTATATGGCTTCACATTTTGAAACTATTTGTACAGTGACTTGCAATGTACACAACTAGATTGTGGTTAACTTGTATCTTTCAGTGATACTTTTTGTAAAAAATAAATGTTCCCCTGAGGTTTTTGTAAAGGTTGTACAGGGTGGTATTTGGTCAAAGCAAGAACAGATACCATTGCTTCAATAAACTGTCTTGTCACTGCTTTTTATAATTTTGTCCGAATACATATTTTACTTTCTAGGAAGGGTCATGTCTGACAGCTTTACAGAACCTACCAAAAATCTTTTTCTTGGTTTAGTGACGCAGTTTGTGTTGGTGATGTAGATTAAAAAAAGTTTTGGTTTTGGGGCAATTCTATGCGTACATTTGAGAAAACATCCTTTATATTCAACCCAGTGATTTCAGGTGACTGTAGGTACTGAGACCATTTTAAGAAGTAACTTTCAAACTATGTAAGTATGCGCATTGTCCTGTGGGTTTGGGGTTGCTGTGCTCCTGCACGATGCAGTGTGTCCCAGGAAATATGGAAGGATTTTCTTTTTCCCTCCCTAGCAGACATTGTTTCTGTGATCTTCTGCTGAAATCGGCTGTTCCTGATAAGGTGAAGGAGCGATTTCCAGAGGAGGGCCTGCATTCCCATTCACTCCTGCAGCTGTACACCAGGCTTCACAGCTGTTTTTTTTTTAATCTGCAGTCGTTCTTTTTCCACTTCAGCCTTTTCATCACTCTGATCAAAGTGTGGCATGCACTTCGCTGTCTTAACTCCCCCAAACCACTTCTGGCTCATGATTATAATTCCAAGCAAATTACCTGGTTGTTTTATCTTGTTGCTGATGAGGAGGTTATATCCTGAAGTACAGCCTTTCACATTTTGCTGTACCGGTCTTTGGTACATAAATATAAATATCCTCACCCCTGTGCTCTGGTGGTTGTTGGTAATTTCACTGGCAGTTATGAGCCCAATTACCTGACGAACACCTTAGTAGGAGACACCTGTGTACTGGTTGTCCCAATACTTCTGCTCCTCCAAAGTGGAGCTCCAGACTGTCTCTGACCTCACTAAATTTTAATTGATCCAAGACCCCAGAGACCTGAACTTCTCACTAGAGGAAATGGTGAAAATCCCAGAACAGTTGTCCTGAGGTTTTTGGAGGACACTACAATGATTGTGCAAGTTGATTGCTAGGCCAAATTACTGCAATACATTATTTTCTTTTGTGGCAATTTGTTTCATATCAGAAAATTGCAACTTGTGTCTTTTGATCCTCTGAATATTTTCAAAACTTGAATTTAGTCTGAAAGCCCACACTATTTTAA